ATCTATAGGAAATAGCTATTGCATGAACTTTTTTCCTTTAAAACATAAACATATCATACGATTACTCATTCGATGCCACTAACTTTGAACTTTTTTCATATTTATTCTACTAAATATTATAATATCTTTATTACTTTCTTTGAAAATTTGAAATATATCATGTAAGACATAAAAAATGTAACTCAAAATTTGTAGTGAGACTATTTGTCTCTTATTTCTTGGTAAATCATATTTCCTACACTGATACGTACAACTAAGCTACAAACATTCAACCAAGTTTCAAACATTGAGTCTTTACATGATAAATAACATTTAAGAGAGATTTGTTCAGATGAAAAATTAATCTTAATTTCACAGGTCTTTGTATGTGCAAATATGCTAATTATTGTGAAAAAGATCCAGTTTTCTTTTTCTAAAAAAACACAAGTTACATATCATTTCACAAAATAAATTTAAATATGTATGAATGATGAGATTCATCGGTTTTGTCACTAGACTATCTTTGGCTTATCATATTAAGCAAAATGGGCTACGTATCAATTTTTCCCAAAAACATGATTCATTCAAACACTAAAAGTGTTGCATTTGCAAGAAACATGCAAAACAAGAGTCATTATGAAAAACCTCCCATACAAAACTATGAAAAAGTTTCCCAAACAGCCCAAATAAAAAGAGCAGCCATTAACTCTATAACTTGACAAGCGACACACTATGTTTATATTTTTTTATTTTAAAGATTGGTTGATCTTGTCAGGCTGAAATTTCAAAAAAAAGCCAAGGCCGGCAGGACCCGGCCTACTTCTCTGACCCCAGGGCCTAGGACAGGGCCGGGTCGTGACCCATGACGGATTTGGCCAGGTCAGCCCGCAGGTTGACCCGGACCATGCCCAACCCTATGAAACATGCACCTGCGTGCTACTTATCTTAACAGCAACAGTATAAAAAAACCAAAATCCAAGTAAATGCCTTGGGTATGAAATTATAAAAAATAATATTCTAAAGCTGTAGTAACAGTATATGATGGCATAACAAATACATGTGTACGAGTAAAAAAAACATACCGGAGTTTCCGCCTTCTTAACTGGTGGGGCATATTCAGGATCACCTGGCTCAGCAAAATGACTCACAAATTGCGCCATCCCTTAAAAAAAAAAAAGACAAGTCAGTTTTGTCTAAATGGGATTCAGTGCAAATCAAATAAAAGGAAATATCTAGCTACCTGTATAGGGAAGGGACTTCTTCTTCTCCGGAGGAGGCTTAAACTCCAAAGGAGGGCGAGGTTCGAAGAGCTTCAAAAGGTTGGTAGTAAGACCAGTTGGATGACTCTGACCAATCTGTTGAAATAACACGGTTACCAAATGTTGTCAATTTCCAATACTAACAGAATCATTAAGGCAAAAAGAAAAGGGAAAAAGAAAAAGAAATACTCCCATGATCCAATTTATAAAAGAATAAAAAAATACATGACTACAGTAATAAAAGGATCAAAAAAGTAGTTAGCAATCCTTTTGAAGGTGTTGATTAATAGAGCTAAAAAGGAACACGCACAACAACTAATATGTGCAAATACAACCAAATCACTATAATTAGTAGTAAAACAGGTAAACATTTGGAAAAAAATAGATCTATTTCGTGAGAGAAGGAAAAGTATCAACTTCATGATTAAAATTAGAGCATGCAGTAGAAATATAAATGGCATCAGTTAATTAAAAGATCAAACAAGCGCATTATGCATGCATCTAGAATTCCTTTGTGGAGTAATCGATTTATCAGTTAAAAATTCAAAGAAATAGAACAATCAAACAACGAATTAGGCGATTCCTAACACCGAACGATCAAAATCCTAACAAGGAATCAGATAACAGGCGATCAATTGATCGATCGACCAAAACCCTAATTAAGTGCGATCCGATCGCAAACAAGTGCGATCATAAAATAGAGAGAGGAACCAGGGTTTCATACAAGGCCAAAAGCTAGCACGAAGGGAAAAGGGATAGAAATTACCAGCTTCAATTGGAGGACGTTGGCGCGATTCTGGGCCTTGGTTCGGGCCTGGACGGCCGCGTCCTTATTGCGCATAAACGGATCATTGTAATCTCCCATCTTCGAAATCGAAGAACTAGGGTTTTGATGCTCAGATCTCGCTTCTTCTTCTTCTTCCTTCGAATCTCTTCAGATGCGGCGAAAAAGGAAAAACTAGGGCACCGAGCCGAGACAGATATTTATAGATGCGGGTTTGGCTCGGGAGCTTGGCTCTGAGAAGGAACTGATGATTTGGTAATCACGTGACAGGGACACGGGCCGCAAATATGGATGCAAAAGGATAATTAATATGAACCATTTTTCCATTTTTCTTTTTCGATAATAATTATGTGAAGGAGTTTTATTCAAAAGAACCTATTTTTGCTAAATAATTAGCAAAACCGATAGTTTTGTTAATTATTTAGCAAAACCATGGTTTTACAAAATGGGGTTTTCGATAATAGTCTCGTATGCTTAGTGGCTATTAATTGGTCACTAAAGTGACCTCAGAAAATCTACGGGATTAGTGCATCCCCTACAAAACGCATGAGACTACTAGTTATGTGTGTTAAGCAGAGAGTCGGCCTTTTCGCCCAGCAAATTCACGGGACTATTAGTCCCGTGTATTTGCTGGCACAGCTCAAACACGCACAAAACATGCACGGGGCTATATCGCTTCATATACATTGTTTGTCGGACCTGTAAGCTCTACAAAAATATAACATCCATTTCATATAATTGTTATACAATATAATATTTATATACTTATAAATTTAAAGAGAGAAGCACCGGATAAAAACGCATTTAATGATTTCACAATATCACAACACAATAGCTACGTCATATACATATCCATACGACAAAATGGTCCAAACAAATCCAAATATATCAAGTCTATCCATATGACAAATTTAGTCTAAGCCAAAAAACTAATAAACTATCACATGCAACCTAAAACTCCGCCCCTCCTCCGTTGTCTCCCTCTTCATACCCGCTCCGACCGTCAGCGTCCTCCTTCGATTTGGGCTTGTACGTGCTTGCTCTCCGGTTGTGTGTGGGGCTGTGACGGACCAGCTTGCGGTGACGGACCAACTTCAATGTCGTGCGAGGAAGATTCACCTCATCTTCGTCGGCGCACATATACCCTCTCCTCATGCGCCATCTGCTCGCAACCATCATGATGATCCTCATGAGTTCGATGAAGAGCTTTACGAACCATCCCCACTATCCGCTGTAATACCGATACATGTACTGAATCTCCTCTTGCGGTAGTTATGCATTCATTTGCAATCCCCTCTATCTCATCCATAGCGTCTATCTGCAATCACGTAAAAAGATATAATTATATATATATAAGCATCCAAAAGCTAATGGATTAAAAGAGCTATTTAAATTTACGCATTTTACTTACCCATTCTCTTTTATCTATACCCCTTGGTACGTATCTTGCCTGTTGGGAACGTGTCTTGATTTCGTTGTCTGGAGGCGTGGTTTGAGTGATCATTCATCTTCTGACTTGGAGTAAGATCAAGCTCTCGTCTAACTTTGGGCATAATTAACTTCAAGATATAAGAGGAAGTTGTTGCTTTATGATCGACATTGGCAGTTGGATTGCAACATGTATGAAGTTCGCAATAACTAGAGATCATAAATTGCCCATTAGATTTTTTCCTAACCGCTACATTAAGCTTCCATAGTCATTTTGAATTTCTCTCGTCTTGAGCACTTGCATACTCTCCTCGAGCTTTCTCGTTGAAGTAGCACTTTACATGGTAGTTGGTTGTAGTCGTTTTCACCGGCTTGAAGTTAACCCGATGACCATTCACATATAGCGAAAACCAAAGTTTTCTTATTCTCGAAAACATCTCCTTTTTTGAAAGTGAAGTCCTCGGGTCGTTCGCCATTAGGACCAAGCTCAACGAACTCAGCTTGTGAGGCATTTATCCACTCCTCATTTTGAAACTCTTCTAGAAACAATTCTTTAGACTCAACATAATCGTTGTTTACACAATATTCATCCATCCAACAGGTGTCCTCATTGGTTCCTCCAATTGCACACTGCATACTATCAAGACGTTCCTCCTCTTTAGCATCTCATAATCATCATTTGTATCTGCATCTCCATAATCATTATTTGCATCTGCATTCTCATCCTAAATGTGGAGATCTCTATTCTCTGTCTTTTAATTCCCTATAATTCATTGATTTTGCTCGCTCTTTTTAGAAAAAAAAAAATCTTATTTTTAACTTCAACATTTCCCCAAAATTATAAAATGCATGCGAGAATATTAATTTAAATCCGGTGCATCGCACGAGTAACAACTAGTTAATACATATGTCCAATATCCAAATAAAGACTGGAATAGTTTACTTAAATGCATCCTTTTTGCATCCTACCAAAATTTTAAATAGTATGCATTTTGATTTTCATATCCATGTTTTATGGTTATTAAGCAACTTCAATCATTTAGTTGTTAGAATTGTTATAATTACAATCATAATAAGAGTTCATCTGAACTTACGTGGATAGAATCATTTGTCCACCAATTTTTTAATCCATTCATGTCTTTTTTTTCACTTATGACTTGAGTGATTCTATACTTGTGTCATACCCCATTTATGTCCTTTTTTTCCCACTTATGACTTGTGTGATTCTAGGCGTGTTATTCTTGTACCCGTTTATGTCCTTTTTCCCCACTTATGACTTGTGTGATTCTAGGCGTATTATTCTTGTAACGTCACAAAATATCATGTGTCATACCCACCATGGGTGACCCGGATGGCTCGGATGTTTCAATGTGGCTGGATTCTTATTAACTCATCAATTATGACAACAATACAAGAGAAATAATCATGCACTTCTGTTGTATTGGGAAGAAGTTTAGGATTTGTAACCTAGTAGTTAATTATATTACCCATAGATTTTCTAATTAATTAAATTAAGTAACCCCTGTTTTGCACGAAGAACAAAGAGAAGATGAAAGGAAATGGTGTAAATTTCAACTCTGTGTAGCAGTTCAAGAATTCATACAAGCATAGTAAATAAAGCAGACATGTCTAACTATATAAACTTGCTATGACCCCAAGTTTATTCAATGCTCTGATTTGAATGGCTAGGTTGCCTGCAGCATGCAGGCAGATTCAAGGTTCACTGAAACATTTCTTGTGTTTTAAATACCCGATCACAAAACACCTGAACAAGAACAAACAGATGACGTCTTTCAAATCTTTCAGAAAAATCTCATACCCGTTCTCGAACCCTGATAATTTTAACTTTTCTTCCGTCATCTCCCAAGCTTTAATACATAGATTTAACCTCAATACATAAAAACCCCACATGCTCCACAAAATCCTCAGAATTGGAGGCACGAAAAGATTAAAGTAGCATGAAGGATCAATCCTTAGCCATTAACAATTTCATGGATTGCCTCACTAACTGCTGGGTCATCGGATCTGACTGCAAGTTTCATGGCGACTTGCTTAGGTCCATCAATACCAAATGATAGTCTGACGAGGACTTTCACATTGCCTATGAACACACCGGACAAAAGGCAAGTATGTGACCTTGCATTGCTTGGAACGACATCAGTGCCCTGCCAAGAAACAAACATGTCACAACAAGGTCCAACATTTTCACTCAAGTAAAAGCCTAAAGAAGAAAGAGTTTCTGCATACTCTCAGATTGAATAATGTCGAAATATTGTCAGATAAGTTAATGTAATATCCAAAGCAAGTTTCTCAATAATGTAAATTACAGTACATTCGGTAACATTAATCATCCCTTAACTCATTTATTAGCAGTCATCCCTTTTGAGTTGCTATTTAAGGATAAATTACAGATAACACTGCGCTCCATCACAAATTGAGAGGTGATAAGTGCTATGAAACAAGTTGAGTGATAAGTACTACTTGAAGTGTGGACAAGGGGGTTATTTGTAACCATCCAATATTTTGTATGATCTAAATAGGGTCAATCTGTGAAATCTTAGAAAAGATCCAGATTGGGTACGTGTAATATTAAGGGTTAGGCCAAATTCAGAATCATATGGTGAAAGATAACACTTAGAGAAAGATTAATAAATAATGACTGCAGGCAAAAGTTTCTAAGTCATCAGTCTTCCAGTTTGACATGGATCAACAGTCAATGGGAGTTAGGAGAATCACAAGAAAAAAGCCTGCAGTAATGATATCCTCTCATGAGACACCATTTCATCAATCTAAAATGCAACCAGGTTTGCTTAAGAATGGAATCTTCCAGTAGTTCCAAAACAATCAAAAACTGAAAATAAAAGGTCAGGGAGTGGACGAACTTTGCTTTCAAATATTTGATTGAAATATGATAGAGTTAATAAGTTACAAATATCTGTAATATCAGAAAAGGAAAACAACTAACCTCGCAGGGCTGCATGCCGAGAATATTAATAACAGCGTTGACAGCTTCAGCTAAGCTCTCTCTTGTACCAAGTCCATATTCATCAACACGCTCGCCCTCTGGATCCATGTTGTCCCAAGCATTTTTGAAATTGGATACTCCCACCTTCAGCATGTAATCTGCAGCCATTACTTCAAAATCTTCTAACTGGTATTCATCTTCAACACCGTCATCCTCTGATTCCCCGGTAGATGGATCTACCTGAAGTTAGACATAGTAGTCATTGCTATTAAACACATCAAATACCATCACCATCATAGAGCTAAATATATTAGGAAATCTACAAGAAGTTTAGCAGGACAATGAAATATATGTAATATAACTGTTGAATATATTAAGTACTTGTTTATGAATACTCAAATGATCATCATCCTTAGGGCAGTAAGTGTACATGAAATACAAGCCCGTAGAAAGGTGTTAATAAGGGCTGCTTGATGTATATGCCTGTTATACGTATTTATAAGTACTTCTTGAATGTCTTCTTTTGATCATGCACAATGATAACCATGTTCAGATGCATCATGTTAAGCCTGAAAATGCTGCTATAAGTTTAAAAGTCAAGGGGAAGAGAGAGAAACAATGATGCTTTCTCAGGTCAGACTGAATGGCGGTGATGAATTGCCAAGGAAATACACAAAAAAATGTAGCAAAATTTTAATTACAAAATTTCTTCTGAAAGTATTACTATCCTATCTATAAGATCCTGAGATACAAATAATTATGCATTAAATTCTAACACATGTGGGCATCATTTGACTTCAGTTTGTGAATATGCAAAAACTACAGTTTCTTTCATAAACATCAACGTATTCTGCGAGTAAGGATATTAGGCCACATAGCTGATGCCTGTCTAAGAGCTGTGCATGTGGTAGGAAGTCATAACCATATTAATATCAATACAACATAAAAACAAATTAAATGCTCCTGCAAGATAAATGTTCCTATGATGAGTCACATACTATGTCACTTGTTAAAGCATATCTTTGTTCCCCAAATATTTTTGAAAGACCACAAAAAACGTTAATAACTAAATTAGAACACAGTATACATCTCAAATTTGCTGAGGGAAATAGTTCAATGATACCTCTTTGACAATGAACTTTAAGATATTAGAGAACTTTCCAACAGATGGAACTCCTGCTGGTTTCTCAAAAGCCACAAAACTCTGCCCAGGTGAATCATAAGGTAAAGTCTTCAATGGCTTTGATGCAACTTCTGAAAATTCTTCAGCTTCAGAAGCATCAACAAAGATTGTAACCTGGAAACAATTGCAAAACTCAAAAGATAGAAAAGGGTTTTACACAGCAAAAGTAGCAGATGCTTCTCCAATCAATTACTACTTACATTTTCCAATAGCTGCTCAGGTATGGTGTTTGTACAGTTGTACTGGAATACAATATGCTCATCATAAATGTGCTTGACTACATTAACCGCATATTCAGTTTCAGCTTCGGTCAACTCCACAGGAGCAGATGACTGAAAAAAAAAATTAAAACATGATGCTGTCAAGAGCTTTGAGTTACATTATTGTCAGAGGCACAAAGGAAGAACCTTGAATAATTTTCCAAAGCTTGAAAATTCAGGAATGGAAGAAAGCATCTTCTCATATGCATCAGCAGCCGATGTTGGAGCACTGAGAGGTGCACCAAAACCAGAAGGCTTTTTCCCTGGAGCCTTTTTCTCAGCAAGAGGCTGTGACTTGACTTCTCTTGGCACAGTAGAAATATCAAAAGGTTCTTCAGAAGCCTCCTGTTAATGACATAAAAAAGATGTAAGTATGGCGTTATTGCAGATGTAACTAATTTCATTAAGACATACATAATTTCGCAAGCTTTTCTCCAAGTTAACCAGAGGAACATCCAATGAACCAAAGAGGAATTCTTTGACATCTTTCTCAGTTTCAGCAACTGAACCATCACCTCCAAGTGTATTAAGATAAAGCGTTGCCCGGTCACGGACCTGTATGGAACACAAAAGGTGGAAATAATGAGGGAAAACACGTTCCATAGCACACAGTTATAAAGATATATCTGAATAGCCTGATAAACTTTTATAGAGTATAGCAAGATAAGGGAAGGGAAATTCTCAACTGTTAAATAAGGATGAAGAGACAATTTACACCTTACACTACAATCATAAAAGAAACTGCAGTAAGTTACAAATAGCTCACCTCATCGTCAATATCAAATAGACAGCGCCTTAGAAGTACAAATATGCGAGGCTGCAAAGGAAAGTTCCAAAATTATCAATATTAGAGGAAAATTCCACATTTGTTGCATGGAAAATAGCAAACCAATAGTTGAAAGACACGCCTTTAGAGAAAAAAAAGGGGCATGCAAACAAATGAAATCTCATGTATGTGGTGCTTGTAATACCTTCAATGCATCAACCAAAGCACCAAACTTTGCCAAGGTACTCACTGCACATGCTCGTATCGTCGCATTTTCAAGTATAACTCGATTATAAATGTATCTTATATATTTACTAGGGTCTGATGTCTTTGGCCCTTCATTCCCCAGAAAGTGAAGTATCTAGAATATCATAAAGGGGAGACGGTCATCAATATGAATATGGTCGCAATTGATATCAGTTGATACTTGAAACAAGAAGTATATGTGCGCATGCAAAAAAAATGAACATCATTACCCCCTCAATAGCCGTGTATAGCCATTCTTAAATAGTTGGTCTGAATAGAACAATTAGAAAAAGGAAAACTGAGCAACATTAATACAAAAAACAGATAAAATTGTGCGTTTTGTTCTGGAAGCCTGGAGGACTGGATAAAGCAAAAATATACATGACCTTTGCTGAAGCAAATAGTCGGTATCACTCCCATAAAAAATCTGATGTGATCTATTGGTCATGAGTTTACAACCTACAAGTAGGTCGTAAAGACTTCAGTTAACAATGTCTGATACATTTTTTGAACTTTTGTTTTTTTCTTTTGAGTGAACTCCAGTTATGAACATATGACCAGACCAAACCAAACAAAAATTTTGACCCATGGACTGGTCATATCTCCAAAATCAAAATGAATTCCAACCATGTCAGATACGTGTAACGGTATAATGGGGTTGGATCGGACATGGGCAGACCTGAATGATGGACCATATACGAAAACTGACCTCAATGGACCATTAACACTCGCTCATATCAGTCAAGGTGTACTATAATGCCTATACGCATGTGTGTTTGTGTAAAAATATTTAAAAAAAACAATTTGAAAGATTTTAAAATGAAGACCCTGTCAAAGTCCAACCTCGTAAAGTAAATAAACAGGCATGAAAAATGTAGAAACGTAAAGGCAATACATGGATATGCCAGAGGTAATATCCTTAATGTGTTTTAAGCTTTCTTGTGTGATAGAATGATTGGGTTAATAAAGAAAGGTGGCGAGATGTTTTCAAAAAACTTTCTTGTCCAATAGAATGATTACAATAATAGTGAAAGGTGGTCGGTTCAATTGAAAGAAAAACTACGAAATGATTACCTGAGTTGAAAGGTATGTGAATTCACAATCTTCAATAAACTCACAGAGATGAAATAAGCCACTTTCTTTAGCGTCTGGTATTTCTCTGATGAGGATGACTATTGAGTCAACGATTGCTTTTTTGTATTCAAACCCACCTTCTTCTCTAAGAATGTTGCTCAAGAAGTTCATCCTGGATATCATTAGACAGGCCCAGGGTACAATTAGTTTCAAGATATTATTTTAATTCAAATACAAATATGAAGTTACATTTGAATACACAGACGTTGCCCAACCAGAAATTCATAATCCCTTTGATTATTAAGCAGAAGAACAAAATGGGTGGTACTTACATTGATCGATACTTGAGCGGAAATTTCAGGCACAGAGATCTTATGGCTTCGACAACAACAATCTTAAACTCGTCTGCAATATCTGACATAAAGTTGGTAATTTGCTTCATCAAGCGATCTACACTTGATTCATTCCCAGTCTTAAGGAGTGTAGTGATGGCAAGAGTAGCAATGCTCCGGTTTTGGTCAGATATTAAGCTTTCCATATCAATATTACAGTTTGTTACTGCCAAGGGATGTGTCATTGCCACCTGCCAGATATAGATGTTTTATGAAAAATATGCTGAATAAACAACTTGCTCCCAATTCCCAAGTAATAGATGCATGTTTAGTCATTCACAAGTGAAAATACAAGTATGATCAAAGATAAAACAAACCTTGTTTAGTGTGCGCACAGCAGCAAACCGAAGTACAGGTTTTGAGGAGCTCAAAAATAATTGTAGAACTGTAATTGCAGGAGTCAGTTCTCTACTAGTAACTCCACTGAGCTCTGTGATTGCCCTAGCAGCTTCAAATATCACCATATCTGCTTTATGACGCAGACAGGCCTCAAGATAATCAAAAAAGGGGCGATCCCCGGTTTGTGTATTCATGCCCGACTCTCGGATCACCTGCTGACAGACTCTTTAGTTTACCATCATCCTTTATCATAGTCAAACATATTTGTGGAATTAGAAGCACCTGGGTTGTGTATCTAATCAAGAGGCACTGAGCTAAAGGTGACCGAACTGTTCCTCTTGTCAAGCTGGTAACAAGCTTGCTCACAGCCAAACGGTCATTTTGCCGAATCTGAAAGCATAAATATATGTAACTACAGTTAGAATACTATATACTTGATTCTTAATTCTTTAATAGATATCTATCGTGAGGTCTGGTAAACAGAATAAACAAAAAACCTGAAAGACTGAAACTTCACATTCACAAAATACTTACATTTGTCCAAATAAAAAATAAAACCGATCATGCATAACACCCCCCCACCCACCCACACACATCCAAACAAAAAAAAAAGAACAATGTATTTTGAGTTGTGCCATGAGACTATGCTGGTATAAAAGAACACAGAAGTAAACGTCCAAACCATCATCTTGAGGGTATGGTAAACAGAGTAAACAAACTTTGACACATAGAAGAAGCATTTACCAATTGGAAAAGGGATCAACCTATCTAGAAAAAGAGCTCTCGAGGTTGATTTGATTTATTCCAAATATCCAGAGAAAATGAAGCAGGCCCTATTTTCTATGTACTCCATTTGAGTGGATGGGTGGGCTGTCTGGGGATAAGTGGGATTAAATTTGATTCTATAGCTGTAAAAACGATTTGTATAGCCCCAGATAATACAAAACCTACCAGATAAGTGCTAAACAGGAGTAAGACATGTACAGCCATAAGTCATAAATAGGCTTAAAAAATAAGCACTATTTAGCATTACTCCAGTAACGGAGTGGAAAGACATGACATGAAGCTTCTCAATTTAGCTAGATCTAACTGGCATCAAAGGACAGGTCACTGATAGATGCGATATTTAGAGTACTATTTGTGTATGGTTAGGTGCTTTCGCTTGCAAAGTAGAGCACTTGAAAGAGGGCATGAGCTTATTATGCTGTAGCTCTTGGTGCGACAATTTCAGATTTGAGCAATTCATCATTCATAAAATGGCAAGAACCGTCTTATATAAGAAGACTATCGCCCACGATTATCAAGTGTTACCCTAAGATTGATGGAAACAATGAATATGAATAGTCCCTTATATAGGCTTAAATTCCCACATAAAAACTAGGTGTAAATCCTCACATGCCCAAGATTAACATTATTATCAAGCATCACTTTAAGATGGATGGCACGTATCTTATCCCTCAATATAGATTTGAATATTCTCACATACAAAAACCTGGTTTACACAAAAAAATTAGTCAAAGTGCACCATAAGCCTTAAACATAAATTCATCATTCATAAACTCATAACAAAACCTTAAACAAACTATTCCCTTTCTCTTTATATTGTACCTTTTGTCAAAGGATCATAACAAAGAAACTTATTGGGTCCATTGATTTAACTTGTTACCATCAAATTATTCCTTTAAGAAATATATTTTCCATGAATAAAATCACTCCATCCTACTTCAGTTTAGGGGACAGGTTTTCTCATTGATGAATGATGCTAAATAGAATCACTTCCAATCTTTCTACAGTTTATAATGCTTTTTCTTCCCTTTTCCTCCTGACAATAATCTTTTTGAGCAAATACACTATTAACTATTTCAAAAGTCAAGAAAGACTAAAAGCATTAAGACCTTGGGTTCAGAGTAGAACGTGTCATAACTCCAAATCCTTCACCTCATACTTTCAACCCTGCCACCAACATCAATCACAAACCATTGAGGCTTCAAATGAGTTTGGTTGTATCCATATTGTACAAAAGACAATATTCCATGATCTACTTTGCTTGAGATGCTTCTACTTTATGAAACCTATGCAAGGTTATCAATAGCGGATAGCGTCGCATAGCGATGAGGCATCGTCAAGGCTATTTGGGGCTGTTGTGGCAAAATATCGGTAAAAAGTGTAAAGTCAAAATAGCGATCTAATTTAGATGTATAAATATTCAAAAAAATAAGAAAAATCTAGAAAACCAAAAAGTGCATATTTGATGATTTAAAGAGATCCTAAACATGAAATAGACATGTAACCATCACATAATACCGAAGACAACTGGAGGAGGAGTCAAAGAGTCATTGTCTTCAAGAAGATGAGCTGAGCGGTGAGAGGACTACAATAGGAGGAGCTCACAGCGAGAGGAGGTGAGAGGAAGTGTTGAGGGAGGTCCCAGAGGCTGTGGGAGGCGGTCGGAATACGTCGGAAATTGCGGGAGGCGGTGGGATGCAGTAGTTGCAGATTGGATTTAAATTTAAAAAACTAAACCTCAACCGCTTTTAAATAGCGGTCAAAAAGCCTACAATCGCCCACTATTCACCGCTATGGCACGCTATTGGCCGCTTTTGTGAGCAAAAAGCACATATTCCGTAATATGTTACCACTATTGGGCGATAGCGTAGTGGGAAGGGACTACTAACACTATTAGCATCGCATAACAGTGAACCTATGATAGATTCCACTACCAACTTCAGCAAAATCAAAACTAATAGCCACAAAGTTCAACTCAATGTTTGTCACATCTCGGAAACTGGAACTCAAAGCATAATAAACAAGCTTCAAATTGCATCATTGAATTTCTAGGGCTGAGGGCTAAATTATCATCCATTCTCTACAATCCAATTCATAGAGAAAAAAACACATTTGCTTTATATCCATCAAGAGTACAAATTACGAGACATGCATGCCCTAGCAAACAACCTCAACTTTCTTCAGCAATCCTAATAGAAACTAGCACTTCATTTGCTGACATACCTAACCCAACAAACTACTCCATTTGTACACAACTGAGTGGTAAAGACTGGAAAAAGTAAAACAATGACTATCACTTCAAGTGAATTTTTTAAGGCCCTCTAAGTTCATAATATAAGGTGTTATTTTATTATGGGCTTGGTTACCAATAGGTTGTATGCTATAGAAGTTTCTTTGATGGAATACAAATCTTTGTTTACGTCAACAGACAGCAATTAGGTATCGAACACCCACCTTTTATCTGTTATAATCTTGGTAATGAAACCAACAACTTACATGGGGGTGTATGTGCTTCGAAGATTTGGAAAAAGATAACCACATTCAGCTGATATTGCAATTTCAGATGTACTCAATAACTCCTCATTCTTTTTCTTTTCTTCTTTTCTTTTTTTTCTTTTTTTTTTGTTGTTGTTGTTGATGAGAACAAGTAGCAAGAAGTTTTGTATCAATATAATAAAAAATAGAGGCTGCTCTTTCATAAATTTACAGTGTGAAGCTTTTACCCTTTGAAAAATTGATCGTCATATTAAGAAGAATGGTATCAATTTGTACCTGGTGAAGAAGAGCCAGCGCATGAAATTGCACAAGGGCAGCTCTTGACTGAACAGCTTCCTGAACCTCGTTACTCCACCTTTTCACAATCTCTGGATTTGTCTTTTGAAATATGAAGCAATCTATAAGTTGGTGAACCAAATACTAAATATATTACTCATGACTGCAAGTATAGTAAAGTACCTGAAGCAAGTGAATGCCACTGACGAGAGCAGCACTGGCCACAACAGGATTTTTATCAACAATTGCTTGTTTTAAGTACCTTTCAATTTGAGTGAGGAGAGTTCCATCAGTGATTCTACAAAGAACACGAATAGCATTGGCCCTATACATGTCTGTCTTGCTATTCATATCTTTCATCAAGGAACTCGTGACAATGATAACCTTCACAAAGAAAGTGATAAGTAAACCGCTAGTTATTAACACGGAACCGATAAAAATAACTTGACAAGAAATTTATAATTCTTCTAACCTCATCAGCAGAAGGTGAAAGCTCTTTGATGATTAAATAAACCATTCTCCTTAACCCAGTATCCTTCGACTGAAACAATTTCGTCACAGCAAAAAACACCTCTGTCGCCTCAACCTATAACATTTTAGTTCACAATTAGAGTTCACCGCATAGTCTGTCTATACAAAATGCAGCGAGATCAGGAACTAACCTTGGTGAAAGTTTCTCCTTGATTTAATAGATACAACAATTTTGTTATAACCTGGATGAAATAACAGAGAAAATATAAATTAAGATTTTGAATGAACAGATCAAGGCCAAAAAGAGTGAATCATGTAAATCATTGACCTGAGAGCATCTCCTTGCATCTAGTTGAGGATCATGGAATACCCTAGCTTCTTGCAGGACCGCGCCCTTCTCAATCCCTAGAAACGGAGAGTAATCTGCAGCATAAAAATGGAGATAAAAAATTAAAATCATCAAAACTCCATAAATTTGAGGGAGAAATCCCAGATCTACACGCCGAACTCCCACATTACAGTATGTCTCAAAAATTGAACCACTCCAACAACTCCAGATCCAAAATTGACAGATCTAGACAGATCTAGATCCAAATCAAATGACATCCAATTCGAACGGGTAAAGATCTCGATACTTCGTGGTTGCAGGATTCATAGCAAATCTAAGTCGAAATCTGAGACAGTTGAAGAGAATTGAGATTCTAATTGAGTCTTCGAGGAGGAGAACTGACCTTCTTCATCCTGATCGTCGTCTTTCTTGATGAGAGGCTGAGCCATGGCTGGATCTTGAGATCGGTTAAGAGAAAGAAAGAGGGAGGGGGCAGAGAGAGCTTGACGGAGTGGAAAGAGACGAGCGAGCGAGCTTATAAGATTGAGAAGGAACCGATCCGTGGCATTGGTTGTAAATATTGGGATTATTAATTCTATGGACCGGAGTCGGATCTGTGGCCCAGATCTAGCCTTTAAGTTTGGGCTTCGGTGAAGTGTTTTAATTTTCTTCTATTACCCTCCTTTTTTTATTGTTATTGGCAAATCTCACTGGTTTTCATCAGCATTAAAGGTTAATCATATCATATCAGATCATACTACATTTAGAAGAGAAAGTTGTAAAAAAACTTTCTAATAACTATATTACCCTTATTTTTTTATATTTCATTCAATTACTAACTAAACTAAATTAATTATCGTTGTTAATTAAATTATACTCTATGTCACTTCAAGTTTGTATACTTTGGTTCCTAAAACTTCCAACCTTTTTGCAAAGCTCTACATTATATTAATTGTTAAGAATTATGATAATATATTAACATATTAATAAAGTATATAGGAAAAGAGTAGAAAATATAGAATTGTCCTAAATTATATCATGACACTCATATAAGAAAATTACAAAGAGCATTATTATGTTTAGGCAACAGGACAGAAGGTACAAACATAAAATTTTAGAATAAATTAAGATATTTAAGTGTAGCAAGATACAAGTGGGGGGTGCATAAGTATAATTTTGATAAACTATAAGTTATTTAAGTTCAGTTAAGCCTATAAAAATTTGAAACATTTGTTATCTACAAAAAATAGTATATAATCCCATTGATAAATAATATTCATCATATAATATGAAGCCAGATGATTAGCTTATTTACTCCTCTATTCTTAAAGGAGGATCCAAAGATTTACTGTTTATGCTACAGTAAATTACTATAGCATGGACTATAAATCTTTAGGTCCTCCTTTAAGTATGCAGAGTAAATTTACTATTCATGCTACAATAATTTATTATATTATAAATAGTACCATTTTAAGTATAGAGAAGTAGATATAATTTCTAATTTTAAGTATACAATAATCAAATCAAATGTATTAAACATTAGAGGGAGATAGGTTCAAAATGCAACGCTTAAAAAAGCATCATATTTTAAATAAATCTAAAGATTTTGAATTATTTCCTAAAATTATGTACTTTGATTAGAAAACTTTAGAATAGGCATTCGAAGGACTACTACAAGGTGGTGGACATGAGATAAAATATAGAACAAATAAAATCTATGATATCAAATTGCAGAAATCGGGAATATGTAAACAATACTGGGCGTCATATGAGATAATATTCATACATAACAAAATATTGTAATATGTAATCTAACATGTTAATGAATTTTAAACATAACAATTTGCATCGAGATATATGCTTAAAATTTTGGAGAGCCGAGAATGTAAAGATTTTGGAGAAGAATTGCACCTTTTGTAGGTTTTGGGGGTTTCGATTTTGTTTCTCAAACATGATTCAAACTCGAGCCCACAATTAAATTAAAAATGATATGATTATTTCGATATATTCAAAGGAATATATCAGCCATGTTTTTTTTATAGCGGTCGATATATCAAAAAAATTACCATATAAAAGAAAACAATATAAAATTTTATCGAGATGAAGTCTTTAACCCGATATATCGGCCGATATAACAATATATCAACTAATGTTTAATACAATGCTTATAAGAGAAAATATGTGAAAATTATTTAGATATTAGTTCCTTGATTTGAAGTATCCAATAATTCTATGTTATTCCCTCAAAATTTTAAAAGTGGTCATAATTTTAGAGATTAATATTAAATTATTAAAATTTTAAGAAACAAATTATAAATAAGCTATATATTTAAAGGAAGAGTTAATTTTTTAAAAACTGTCTCAACTATGGGGATTGTCTCAAAAACCCACTCAACTGATTTAATTTAATAAATCCCTTTACTATGGGGGTGTTATAGATAACTCCTCTCAATTTTGATGCTATATTAGAAAACTCCCCCTTAACTATAGTGTGTCTCATAAAAACTTATATAATATTTTGCACTTCTATCAATAGACCCTCTTAACATAGTTACTTCAATATGTGATTTGGACAAAATACCCTCTTGAATAAAGTCGTTTTAGTTAAAAAGAAATGCTCAACCGGTAATAAAGGAACAACCAATTTACAATTGTTTTTCCCTCTATATCACCTCTTTTTCTTTTATCTGGCAAAAACCAAGATAATTCTTTTTATGGTTGAGGGATATTTTGATCTTTCCAAGTCAAGTATTTGTCACATAATAGATAAGACTCAATGATATTAGTTTTGAGAGGTTAGGTTTAAGTGAGAAAAGTTCAGAGGGGTTAAATCAAATTTTTTACGGTGAGATAGATCACCTACAAAATACCCAAAATTTGACGGAGATTTACACAGTTTCAAATAGTTCTTTTTAGAGGGAGGGGGGGAGGGATGTTCATATGTGTCCCGTTGTTGAGGGGGAGTTTTCAAAATCAACCTTTAACCAAAAGCACAACTTAAGGCACATGCGACATCAATTTTATAAGAGTGGGGTTTATAGCAAGGTCATTACTCAATGAATTGATTTGTGTTATTTGTTCTTAAATTTATCCTATACATCAACTCTGAAAATCTTTTGCTATAAAAATCTCTAAGAGAAATCTAATCTTTATTTGTGATGGGTATGTGATCCTTCTGATTCCTCTTGTCTTTCATGATTTATAATAAATATTAGATAAATTAAATTAAGTTGTCATTTTATATTACTCATCTTCTTATAAGTTAATGAAGCTCATAGCTCGGATATGAGTATTGTTGTGGAAGTTGTATTCTTCTAATTTTTTAACATATTTTTTTGGATATTGTTTGACATTGGATGGATATGAATTATTTTGTTAAAATACAATCAATATGAGTGCATAATATATATAAATCATTCTCAAAGTATATTTTATAATTTTTAGAAACTATAGAGTAATCGTTTTGATAGATAAATTAATAGTTGTCGAGATGTGAAAAGAGTACAATATCATATTTTGGAATTGATCACATAGTTTATGTTTTCGTTCTTGATTGAATTTGCACATTCTAACTTAGAAAATTCTAGAAAAAAGTTCTTGAATATATATAATACTCGATCGCCGGATAAACTATAGGTGGAAGCGATCTTTTTATAACTAAATAAAATCCTTAATGATTAGATAAAACCTACAATTTTCTTTGATGAATTCAAGAATTTATTTTCTTCATTAATAATAATAGTTTTCCATATTGGTCCCTTACATCATTAATATTTTGAAATTAAACATTCAAATTACTGATTAAACTTAAATTAATAATATTTTAAGGCTTTAAACATCACTATTTCTCTAGAATACAAATTGTTAAATCTAACAAGAATTTACCCATAGAAATATAAAAAAATTAATATATTATGATAATCATAAACTTTTTGATAACCATGTTATAGCAAATAAATAAACTTAAAGTAAATAATTAAAATATTTGACCACGTGCAGTGCATGTGCATTCCACCTAGTGGCTATAAACAAATGAGTTTAGTGAGTATCCTAAGTCATGGATTCGGATCATCTTCTAATGAAAAGCTCATAATATCTTCTAATAAGGAGATCCTACCTTTTTATTTTCATCATGGCCTTTCATTTTCCCACCCATCCTTGTGGGCCCCCTCCCAACTCTTCACAATTTTTCATTAAGAAATATTAAGATGAGGAGATGATCCCAATTCATAAGTCATACCGTCCAAATATTGTTGTGGGATTTCTCTTTTCTCCTTTATTCATTTGGTGGAAGTTAAGCCATATTATTGTGATATGAGGAAATACTCTCAAACGACAAGGATACACAACATTGTTAAAAAATTACAAATTTTTTAAACAAAGTTTCTGGTTTGATCTGAAACATAGGACAGTTTATAATTCATTCTCCAGTTTATTATCGAGCAAGTTGTGGTAAAAATCTTGCTGAGGTTATAATATCACGCTAGTTTAATAAAGGGGTTTTTTGACATCAGTTCCTCACATCTTCAATATTTTGAAATTAACCCTCCAAATCTTCATGTTTTGAGATCAGTCCGCTAAATCTTTTAAGTATTTTGAAGTTAGTCCATCAAATCTTCATCTTTTGAAATTAGTCGCTAAATGTGTCAAGTGTTTTGAAATTACGCCCTCCTGTTGAAATTAGTCCCCAAATGTGTTAAGTGTTTTGAAATTATGCCCTCCTGTTTACACCAGGTTGAAAGATTTGGAGACTAATCTCAAAATACTTAACACGTTTGGAGGACAAATTCCAAAGTATGAAGATTAGGGGGACTTATTCAAAATACATGAAGATTTAGGGGACTAATCTTAAAATACTAAAAATATGAAGGACTACTATTAAGAAAAGCCCTTTAGTAAAATCTATTATTATTTATAACTTTTACATAAAAGCAGGGATCTTTTAGTCAAAGTTATTCGTTCGTTGCAACAAGAAGATAAAGTCGAAGCAGATGTATGGAACAACCTTCAAATTCATGAGTATTCTCAAGGTATGAGTGTTGGGGACTCAGAAACAATCAAATCGAATTTGTGTCCTTCCGGACCTTATGTTTGAGAGTAGAAAAGTAGGAAATCATCGCAAATAAAAGATAAAACTTACAGGAAAGTAAACAAGAAAGAACATACCAGATTTAACGAGGTTCGACAACGTGCCTACATCATCGGGAGTCACACCACACAATTCATTGATTAATTGAAGAAGATTACAATGTCCACAAATAGTTTTTAATCTCTTTGAGATTTCTCTGAAAGAAATCCTCTCAAAAGCCTCTTTTTCACGTGTTCTAATAACCCTAAAAATATTTAGGTATATATAGGATCCCAGCCCAAAACAGATTCCCAAAAGAATCAGGATGTTTAAAATTCCGACTCCGGTCGTCCGGACCATGTGCTTCGGTCGACCGGCCAGAATGACAAATTCTGCAGGGTCTGGCGTGCACGTTTCGATCAACCGGACTCCTTATGTCGGTCGACCGACCAGAGTGTATATTTCTTCTCAGTTTCTTGCAGGCATCGCGGTCAACCGGACCTCCTCCGTCGGTCGATCGGCCAGCGACTGGACTATTTTCTTCGACTTTCTGATTCAACTTTGGGTCCACACACTTAGACTAACAACCTCCCACTTGGAGACCAAAGCACTATCAACGAGCTCACCCGAGCTCCTGCCTTCTTCGCATGCATCTTCTCCTACCCAGAAAAATCCATTCTTCAATCATCATCAATCCGGTGATCCCGTCGATCCTCCTAGTGTGGCTCCGCCTTCATCTCCTACGTGTGAAGGCCAACTGAAGTTGCGCACAACTCCAGTTTCTCATTGGTCACTGCTTTCGTCAACATATCCACAGGATTTTGACTCCCCAAAATCTTCTTTAGTTGTAACTTCCCATCCTCAATCAGCGAGCGTGTGAAATAGTATCGTACGTTGATGTGCTTCATTATGACATAATATACTGGATTCTTAGCAAGGTGTATAGCGCTCTGGCTATCACAATAAAGAACTTTGTTCTCCTATTTTAGATCCAACTCTTCTAGGCACCCGGTCAACCAAATCATCTCATTGTTGACTTCAGTCACTGCGACATACTCTGCCTCAGTTGTGGATAATGTTACAATCTTCTACAGACATGAGACTCAACTCACTGCTACCGACGCCAAAGTATAAACATACACTGTGGTACTTCGTCTCGTATCATGATCACTTGCGAAATCTGCATCCACATATCCCCACAGTACCAAATCCTTCCTCCTGAAACATAATGGCTTGTCTGTAGTTCCTCTCAAGTAACGCAATATCCACTTCACGGCCTCCCAATGTTGCTTCTCTGGATTGCTTACAAACCTGCTCATAACTCCCACTGCATAAGTAATATCCGGTCTCGTACAAACCATCGCATATATAAGACTACTAATGGCTGATGAATATGACACTCTGCTCATATAATCAATCTCTACATCTATCTTGACTGATTGCTCCTCAGATAACTTGAACTGACTTCCAAAGGGTGTGCTAACAACCTTAGCATTCTGTATGTTGAACCTCTAAAATACCTTCTCGATGTATTCAGCTTGATTCAACTTCAACGCCCCTTCAGCTTCATCTTTACTGATTCGCATCCCAAGAATTTACTTCGTTGCACTCAAATCCTTCATAGCAAACTCCTTCGCCAACTTCTTCTCAAGTTGTTTATCTCCTCTAAACACGATCCTGCTACTAACATGTCATCATCATACAATAATAACACGATATAGCTAGACTCGAACCTCTTGAAGTAGCAATAATGATTTGAATTGTATCTTCCATAGTCATTGCTCTGCATGAAGTTGTCGAACTTCTTATACCATTGTCTCGAAACCTGTTTCAAACCGTACAAGCTCTTCTTGAGTTTACACACCATCTCTTCCTTTCCTCCTTTAATGAAACCAACATGTTGTTTTATGTAGATTTTTTTCATCCAAGTCACCATGAAGAAAGACCGTCTTCATATCTAACTGCTCAAGGTAGAGATTTTCTGCAGCTACTAAGCTCAACACTGCTCTGATGGTTGTAAGCTTAATAACAGGGGAAAATATCTCCGTATAATCCACTTCTTCCCGCTGTTGGAACCATTTTACGATTAATCTGGTCTTATACATCTTGCTTCCATCACTCTCCTATTTGACCCGATTGACCTATTTGTTATGCAAGGTTTTTTCTATGCAGGTAGCTAGGCTAACTCTCATATCTCATTCGAGTGGAGAGAATTCATCTCTTTTTGCATCGCATGCTCCCACTGCTGAGATTCACTAACTTGCATAGTCTCCTCATAGCACTCCGGTTCTCTGTTATATCAAAAGCAAGTAATCAAGTGTTGAGAGATATCTGGGATTCGGTTTGGGTATCCTGGATGACCTCCTAAGCTCCACGTCCTGGGTAGCAGCTTCTGCACCTGGAGTTCTCTGTTCTTCAGTCAGAACTAGCACTATCTTCCCCATCTGGAAGTTCCTCCAAATCCATGTACTCGGATCCATCTGTATCCTTTGTGTTGCTCATACTGTTTTGACTATCCTTGGCATTATCCATGTCCTTATACATCACCTCCTCATTGAATATCACATCTCTGCTCCTGATGATCTTCTTGTTCTTCTCATCAGACGATACCGAACTTATTAATGTCGTATCCAATGAATGTAGACTTATGTGACGTAGCTTCTAGCTTGTCTCTTACATGGTCACTAATATGAATATATGTCACGCAACCAAATACTTGCAAGTGTGAAAGATTGATCTTCTTGCCACTCCAAACCTTTTCTGGAATCCCAAAATTCAATGGAACCGATGGTTCATGATTAATCAAGTAAACTATCGTATGCACCGTATCCGCCCAAAATGTCTTAGGCAGACCTACATATAATCGCATGTTCGTGACACGCTCCGTTAATATCCTATCCATCCTTTCTGCAACGCCGTTCTGCTGCGACATCCCAAAAGTAGTCCTCTCCAAACGAATCATGTTTAGAGTACAAAACCTCTTGAACTCCTCCAGGTTGTATTCTTCACCAATGTCTGATCTCAAAAACTTCATCTTTAGATCTGTCTCATTCTTCACAATGGTCTTCCACTTCTTGAAGATCCCGAACACCTCTAACTTATGCTTTATGAAGTATACCTATACTTTTTTTCGAGTGATCATCGATAAATGTGACATAATACGTCGAACCGTCAAGAGAAGACACACTAGTTGGACCACATATGTCTGTATAAACAAGCTCTAGCTTCTGAGATTCAGGTGGTCTTCCACCCTTCTGAAAACTAACTCTCTTCTGTTTTCCGTAGATGCAGTCCTCGCAAACACTAACTTTTTATAGAATCGATACCGGTTAGCTTTCCCTGTGAGTGTAGAATTTTTATTCTCTTCTCACTCATGTGTCCCAACCTATTATGCCACAAATCTGCACTCTCCTTGCCAGCTGCAATTACGAAGGTGTTACTCGCGTGTGAGGTGAGGTAGAGAGCTCCTATTTTATTACCTTAGGTAGAGAGGTGTCACTCGCGTTGGAGATTTCCACGAATCCCCAGATGAATATTAAAACATAGCATTCCACTCCAAACTGGCCAACGAAAATAAGATTCTTCTTTAGCTTAAGTACGTGTCTAACATTCTTCAGATTCTACTTAGAGCCCTTCAACAGTATTTGCATATCATCTCTTCCAACAACACTATAGGGTTCATTATCCCCCAAGTATACTTTCCCAAAGTCCCCTGCTACATAGTTATGAAAAAATTTCCTATTAGCAGTGACGTGGAACGAGGCTCCTAAATCAATAACCCATGAATCAGAATCGTTATCCATAGCAAGGATTAAGGCATCTTGCACGAGATGAGACTCCTGCTCATTTGCATCCTTCTTCTGTACTTTACAGGCTAAAGACATATGGTGCTCCTTGTCGCAGTTCCAACACTTTCCTTTAATAGGTATAACTTTTGAGTTTGACCTCTTCTTGGTTGATTTCGACCGATTCATGTTGTGGTTACCCTTCTTCTAGCTTCTGTCTCTCTGCTCGAGATTTAGGGTTGATCCTAAATCTTCTGATTCAGACGATTTTCTTCTAACCTTCTCGGATAAAATCATGCTAATAACCTCGCTCAGCTTCAACTTTTCCTTCCCCGTCAAATTGCTAATTGCGGTCACACAACCTGGCCAACTATCCGGTAACTATGATAGAATCAATAGGGCCTATACTTCATCATCAAATGTGATGTCCACAGAGATAAGTTGATCAACAATCATGTTGAACTCGCTGAGGTGCATCATGAAGGAGTGTCCTTCTGTCATCTTGAGGTTGAAGAGTATTTTGACGAGATGCACCTTATTTGCAGCTGACGGTTGCTCGTACATCTTTACGAGAGCTTCCATAAGCCTCACCGTCGTCTTCTCCTTCAATATATTGTGTGCGACTGTTTTAACGAGCAACAACCGGATTTGCCCTAGATCCTTCCTGTCTAGTATCTCCCACTTCTCGTCTGATTCCTCTTTCTTCTTTCCTTTAGCTTTGCCCATCAACGAACGATACAAATCCTTCTGGTACAAATAGTCCTCCATCTACAACTTCCAGTAGGCGAAGTCCGAGGCATCAAACTTCTCGATCTTAGATTTGCTTTCCCCTGCCACGACTCTCACACAAACCTTCTGAACAAAGCTCTGATATTAGTTGTTGGGGACTCGAAACAATCAAATCGAATCTGTGCCCTTCCGGACCTTGTGTTTGAGAGTAGGAAAGTAGGAAAATCACGCAAATAAAAGATCTTACAAGAAAGTAAATAAGAAAGATCACACCAGATTTAACGAGGTTCGGCAACGTGCCTACGTCCTCGGGAGCCACACCACATAATTCTTTGATTAATTGAAGAAGATTACAATGCCCACAAATAGGTTTTAATCTCTCTGAGATCTCTCTGAAAGAAATCCTCTCAAAACCCTCTTTTTCACGTGTTTTAATAACCCTAAAAACGTTTAGGTATATATAGGATCCCAACCCAAAACAGATTCCCAAAAAAATCAGGATTCTGAAAATCCCGACTCCGGTCGACCGGGCCACGTGCTTCATGTGCTTCGGTCGACCGGCTAGAATGACAAATTCTGCAGGGTCTGGCGTGCACGTTTCGATCGACCGGACTCCTCATGTCGGTCGACTGACCAGAGTGTCGATTTCTTTTCAGTTTCCTACAGGCATTGCGGTCAACCGGACCTCCTCCGTCGGTCGACCGGCCAGCGACTAGACTGTTTTTTTCGTCTTTTTGATTCAGCTTTGGGTCTACACACTTAGACTAACAATGAGTACGTGAACATTCAAATTTCAGATGAGTGCTCGACTTTTACTGAAAAGTCGGGGAAGAATATCTTTATGTATACGCATTGTTCTTCCATTTTACTGAATACCGAATGTTTCCACTAGTTTGATTTCCAGTGCAGGACTATACATAAGATACAATATTTACAAAGAATGTCAGCCAATTTTTGACTCTGTATTAATATTTCTATATTTTGGTAATAATTAACATGTATAAAAGAAGAAAAAAGGATGAAAAAACCCTCTATGTTACAAACTTTACAGATGAATTCCTAAACTCCAACTTTTCCTATCACTTCTCCGCTTGAGCTACCAGCACCACGATGTCGAAAGTCACCAATTTGTTCATTGCATTCTCCATTAAACTCAGTATTAGGTATTGAGGGCTTTCTCATATTTCTCCTTGGGTTTTGCATATAAAGATCTGAATCATAGTCAGAACCTGAACTAAATACCATGCTTTGCCCCGGCCTAACTCCCTCGTTCAGCTCTTCGAGTGATAAATCACCATCAAGTGCTCGAACAATCTACATTCCAGTTCATTAAACCATATATTTTAGAAGCTAACTAGTTATGCGCATTGAGAATAAATAAAAAGATGGTTAGTTTAACATATACCTGGCTCATTTTAGGACGCTTCTTTGCAGAATGGCGAACAGCTGCAGCAGCACAGGCCACCATTCGAGCCATCTCCATTGGTTCGTAGTTTCCCTCTAGATTTGGATCCACCAATTCATCATAGTTTCCATCAGATAATGCATGTGATAGAACTGGCCTTGCCTAATTTTAAAAAAAGGAAAAAAAAACTTTGTTTAATTTGTTAAGAAAATGAAACATAATTGTAGAAAAAAGCTAACCCAGTCCACTAGACTATCTTCCATGAATGACTGTGAAGCATCGGATGGTCGCTGACCAGTTATTAGCTCCAGAAGCATCACCCCATATGAGAAAACATCAGATTTCTGTGTTAGTTTTCCACTAGAAGCATATTCTGGAGCTAGATACCTGTAAGCATCAGAGAATTTAATTTATGTTTTTTAAAAGGTTGTTCTTGATCAAATTTTGGTCACATGTGAATGTTAAGCTAATTGTCATGGAATGTGTTGCTCACCCAAAAGTTCCCATTACACGAGTTGAAACATGAGTGTTGTTGTCTGAAGATAGCTTTGCCAGTCCAAAGTCTGCAACCTGATTCGGTTCTAGAGTACATAAGAAAATGAATATGTAAAGGAGATAATGCAGCTTAAAAATGAACATAAACATGTATTTACGCTAATCTTTTTTAAGAAAAAAATGTGTTCACTAAACTCAGCGTTGAATTTGTTCACAATGATCTAATTAGCTCGTGAAAAAGTAAAACAGAACATATTGCAATAGAGATTGTAAATTTGACATGGAAATTAAATCGATACCCTTTTGTTTATGTTAAAAAAATGTATAACATGAATAATTGCAAAAAAATCAAGCTCAAATGGGCTAGACATATTAGTACTTCGTATATACAAGAAATCCAACTGTCCTTATGCCGGTATTTCTAATAAACATTGCGAATACCTCTCACACTCTCAACTGAATAGAAAATAAAATATCTTCAGAACTTTGAGTATGCAAACGCTTTTCAGTTTCTTAACATTAATTGGCCTACCAGATCTTTTTTCTTACTTCTATCACATAATAATTACTCATTTTTCTTGAACAAACATCATAAATCAAATATTTCTCTAGAACAAATTCAATCAAATAGTATAATCTGTTAGTAAAGCTTCAAATATAAGCATGTAAACTTACCATGGCTTCAAACTTTAAATCTATGAGGATGTTGGGAGACTTGATATCCCGATGGATAATACGAGGGTGACCTTCAATCAAAAAAAAAATCATAAAAACATATTAATCAAAGCTATAGATGACGAGCAATTTTTTTTAATTACAAATAAAGAATTGCCTGCTTACAGTCTTCGTGCAAGTAAGCCAGGCCTTTGGCTGCCCCTAATGCAATCTTGAGTCTTGTAGGCCAGGTCATTGTTGGAATCCCCTTTCCTGTACATAATACACTACAATATTTGAACTATTCTTCAATCTGTTTTCATTGTATCAACCTCTGCAAATGATACGCACCATGTAAATGATACTCAAGAGTTTTGTTTGGCACAAAATCATACACCAACAACCTCTTAGCCCCAGAAATACAATACCCAACAAGAGAAACCAAATGTCGATGATGAACTCTACTAATAATATCCACCTCAGCCTGAAACTCTCTCTCCCCTTGTCCACTCCCTGACTTAAGAGACTTAACCGCAATCTCTTTACCATTAGGTAAAACTCCTTTGTGAACATATCCAAAACCACCTTGGCCTAATAAATTGGCCTGAGTGAACCCATTGGTGGCGGTTGCGAGTTCTTCGTAAGTGAAAGTGCTCTGGTTGAATCCTAGAGCGAGATTTGGGGAAGGAGGAGGGAGTGCAGGGTCGTGAGGACCTGAGAATGCTGAACCTGATTCATTGCTTGGTATTGCTAGGAGTGGTGGTGGTTTCCATGCCCCAGCTTGAGGTAGTTGAGAGTTGTTATCATGGGTACCACATTTTTGGCCTTGTACTCCACCAACATAATATGAATCCTTGCCTAAATTCGAAACATGTATGCCTGAGATATGTACATGTTATAAGTTGCAATTGAGAGAATAATAGTTAAGTCTAGCCTTCTTTGTAGAGCCAAATTCAACTAAATCAAAAACTTCTTAGCTCTGCTATGCTAGTTATTTTTTAAGATTAATTGCGGATAGACCGCTTTACTGTTGCCCAATTTCAGATAGACCCTCTACTCTCAATGAACTTTTTGACAATTTTACGTTCAGAAGGTTTATGTAATAAAAAACAAATTTCTCTTTCTCTAATAGTGAAGGAGTCAAAAATTCAAGCCAAGGTCTATCAGCAGCAATTGAAATCAATTGGCCAACAGTACAGGGGGATCCATCGGCAGTTAATCCTTATAAATATGTATAAATTATGAATTCATTATAATTTGTTGTGATTCTTTATATTTGACCGCGAAGAGAATGTAGACACATCTTCAAAAACATTTTGTACAAGTGATTTTCACCATTTTTTCCCCTTTAAAAACAGTTTTTTTTTGTTGTGAAAAGCTAATTCACTTCAAAAGAGTAAACAGAAATAAGATGCAATTAAGAAGTTTGCAGCTATCTATGAAAATAAACACTAGATCATTCGTGTAGTTTATCCAAATCGTTCGTTATTTCATAAATGTTTCAGAATCTCGTAGGGCAAACTATTGACAAAAAGTATATTTATCGTATGGCATTCATTTCTACCATAACTTTTAAATTTTCAATCAAACACAAAACTGATCCATTCAACTAAATCATTATTAAGTCCAAATTCATTTTCAATATAAACATTAGAACTAAGGAAAAAAAAATACCCGTCTGCTCCGACGAATCTGCATAATACTGCATCCGATCACGACCGTGAGGCTTCCCCTTCTTCTTCTTCCAAACACACGCGACAACAATCATAATAATAACAAGGGTAGCAATCCCCCCAACAATCCCCGCAATAACCAAAATTGACTCAGATTGTCCTCCCACCTCCGTCTCATGACCATCATTAGTATCCGAAGGCGAACTTGAATCCCCTCTCCCTGTGTTACTTTTATCCGGAGGAGACAATGGCGAAGGAGACGAAGACGCCTGTGATGAATTCGACTGCACGGGAGATGGTGGGACAAGAGAGCTATTTCCCTTGTCAGAATTTGATGGAGGCGACGGAGGCGACGGCGACGGGGAAGTTTTGGGGGGGTCTGGGGGCGGCGGCGATGGCGAGGGCGGTGGAGGTGGAGGAGGAGATGGACTCTCTGAGGGAGGAGAAGTATCATTTTTGGACGAAGAGGTTGATGATCGAGTAGATTTTTGGGGGACCGAGGTATTATTATGGGAGATCGTAGTAGTATTATTCATCTTTCTACGTCCCCTTAACTTTTAGTCCGGGGACGAAGTTATGGGTAACGGATCAAAGCAACTCTTGATGCCTGTCAAAGGAAAATGCGAGCAGAAAAACTGGCTAATGCTATGAGAAAGAGCATCCACCTCTGAATTTTTTTTTTTTTTTTTTTTTTTTGCCCCCCCCCTCCTCTCTCCCCTTCACGCGTGTTGAGAATTGGGGAAGAAGGGAGAGAGGAGGAGAGACCCTCGGCACTAACGGTCAACAATCTCTCTCTGTTACGAGGGAGTTTGAGATTTACTATTTTAGATTATTTTTTTTTTTTTTTTTTTTTTTTTGCCCCCTCCCTCCTCTCTCCCCTTCACGCGTGTTGAGAATTGGGGAAGAAGGGAGAGAGGAGGAGAGACCCTCGGCACTAACGGTCAACAATCTCTCTCTGTTACGAGGGAGTTTGAGATTTACTATTTTAGATTAATTCTTTCAATTCGATTAATTACACCTTGCTAAATAAAGTATGTGTGAGACTCGAGATTATCAAACTTGCAACGTGATTTGAGGACCTGATAGCAGTTTCAGTGGTTTGCGGGACCGATTTCAAAATAAGAAAGGTGTGAGGGACTAATATAGAAACAACCCTAATAATACAATTTACACCGATGCGTAGAGGGACTGTAACGCAGGCGCTTGATAGTACCTTCTAATGTTTGGATAGGGATGTTAAATAGGTTGGTTTGGGTATTAAATGGACGGATCATAAATGGGCGGGCATGTTTTGCCCATTTACTCATTTATGGCTCATTTAACATTATTTAAATGGGTGGGTTTTTGACCGTCCATTTAATAAACGGGTCGCCCATTTGCCCATTTAACTATATTATGTATATGTATATAATACTTTTGGGGTGTTTTTTATAAACTTTTAGGGGGCTTTTTGTAAACTATTGTGGACTTTTTACAAACTTTTTGGGGGCTTTTTGCAAACTTGTTGGGGCTTTTGATAAACAAACAAAGACAGACAAGTTCATGATTCAACCATTTACAAGCCTGGATAAAAGTACAGACCTCACACATTTGCAAAATTAACCTCAGATTTCAAAACCAAAACCCAAAAGATCAATAACAACAAAATTGCGAGAATATTTAAATGAATCAAGATAGAAAACACAAGGTATGTAAGGATCTGTATAAGATCAATAACTTGATATAAATGCCATCATAACTATCAGCAACACAATCACGATTAGTAAGGACAATCTACTTAATTACTTGATAAACTAGAAGAGTAGTAAGTTCGTCTATAAACAAAATAGTAGCACAACCATAGTCTACTTATTTCCCATCTTTCAAATGTTCAGGCATGAACAGGATCATGACAGAAGAAAGAAAAGACCAGGAAACAAACATAACACTCAGTTGGACTCAATAACAACATTAAGAGTACTGCAGCAAGCCTCATATGTGCGTCTTCATAGCAAGGGTTAGAATCCGAAATCACCATAAAGACCTCAATATTTCCCCTGCATCAATCATCCATAGAATTAGTTAATTTTGCCACAAACGTATGATATTGTCATAATAATGAAACACATAAGAGGAAGGTGAATAATTTGATTACAACGCATGGTCTTCAGAGTTCAGGCACAACATAATAAAAAGAGTTTCAGATACTCATACTCCTTTTGCTACATAGTTTTTTCCTCTTGCTTGCTGCTGATTTTTTTTTTTGGGTTGTGTGTAAGAAAAACTAGGTAGCAAAAGACGCACGAAGGAAATTAGACTCCCAAGTTCCAACTAGCATAATGTTCCTAATTTTCAGTATAAGATATTGTGAAATATGGATAGGTTTCGGAACTAGATTACTTAGACTAAAGTTGGGAGAAGTTTTTATGAGGGCCCGTTTGGATGGGGATTACTTAGACTAAAGTTGGGAGAAGTTTTTGTGAGGGCCCGTTTGGATGGGGTATTTTGCCCTGAAAATTAGAAGGAAAGCTGTCAAAATGACAGCTTTTTGACAGATTTCCCCCAAAATCGCTTATTTAAGAGGAGGTTTTGGGGAAAAGCTGCCAAACTCCTAATTTTCGGGGCAAAATACCTCATCCAAACGGGTCCTGAATGATAGGAAATAACTTCTCCCCGTCACAAATGTTGAATGATTACATATCTAGATAGCTGGGCTTATGTCTCTGCTTTACTAAAGTTTTAGGGTGGCACTAGGGGCACACCCTCAACCACACATCTAACCACACCCCCTCTCTCATTTGTTACAGTGCACCGGGCCTCGTATGGGATTTTAAAAATTTAAAATCCCATGTGAGGTCCGGTGCACTGTAGCAATGAGAGAGAGGTGTGGTTGGGGGTGTGCACCTATCATTTTCCAAAGTTTTAAGCATTCATGTGATATCGACGGCTACTTTGAAATCTGGTACTAGTCAAACCAGAACAAAAGGGAACAGTGAAAAAACTATACGCAAATAAATTGACCGTACACAAGAAAAACACTTCTAATTTTACTACAGAAAGAAAATCTCTAATGCTGATACGTCATATTTGTGGTCATCCCTTGCACTCAAAAAAAGTATGAACATCAACTAATTAGATTTTTTTTCAAAAGAAAAAAAAAACTATTAGAGAAAGTAATGTTCAGTAAACATTTGAGGCACCTAAAAGTGCAAACGCCATATTCTGAAGAAAGAAATCCACAAAAGGCAGAGTAGCATCTCTCTATTGAACTAAAAATTTAATCCCGAAATTTTAACAAGTCTTGTTTCCGTCTTCCATTTTTCCTAGCCTTGGGTAGCTTGATTCCTGCCAAGACAGAAAGAAGAGAATTTCATGTAACAAACTGATATATATCGTCGAGAACTATGTGATTCAGCATGCGTTCAGCTTTCAAATGTCATAATAACCGAGCAAGTTTAATTATTGTTCTCAGTTTATTGCATAGATTTAGAATATAATTATATACACCTATGCCAACAGTTTAATCAGTATGCTAGTGATAACAAGAGTAGAGCAGTTGAAGTAACAGAAGCGGGGGAAACAGAACTAACCTTTGTCTTGACAGTTCAAATCTAGATTCGAAAGGCAATCTCTGATAGATCTACATCAAAACTTGAGATCTAAAACCATATAGCCATGATTAATTCAAAGAGATTAACAATAATCAAAAGAGCGGAAGCTTATACCTGAATCCATGGATGAAATCTTGATTTGGGTTTTTGATGATCTTCTAACCTTAGGGTTCCTCTAAAATCCGAATTTCTCTCTTAGATGGGGGTGAAGAGAATTAGAGAATGTAACCCTAGATTAGGGACCATAACCCCTTATTTATAGATGTTGTACTTTTGTAATTTAGCCCCTCAATAAATTACAATTACAACCTGGTATCTGCACATATAACCCCATGACTTATTTAAATACCAAATTAACCCAACTTAATTGATCACTTTAGTGGGTTATCCTGAAAGATAGCAATACACATTGATTAATCATATGTGCCCACAAATAGATTTATTAGATTAAATCCAACAATCTCCCACTTGGGCACCATATGATTCCTTAAACTGTGTATAACCTTATGAGCTCAAAATTGCTATCACTGAAAAGGTATTTCCGAACAATCTCGTCCATTGACTATATCAATATAGGATCAAAGCGGCCTTCGTCACATTTATCGTGACTCGACCCATCAATGGTCACATATATCAATACAATCAAATGACATAGATCAATCATGGATGTGCAGCATGAAAATTACATGCAATGTGATCAGTACATGTCTATTTTCAACTGGTCCTCCTTAGTGAGGTCAAAACCAAACATAATGTAACAGAGTGTCTTAACTGAAAACTTTATTCTGATCAGACAATACAAACAAACATAAAGCACCACAAATACAAACTCCCACTAAAACATAATATCCTCAAATAATACCACACCCATATGAGCAGTATGCTCATGAAAGACCTTAGGTGGCAATCCCTTAGTAAGAGGATCAGCTAACATGGAGTTTGTCCCAATGTGCTCTATGGATATCTGTCCACTCTGTACCCTTTCTTTCACAACCAGGAACTTAATGTCAATATGTTTTGACTTAGTTGAGCTCCTGTTGTTATTGGAATACATTACTGCAGATTTATTGTCACAATATAACCTTAGTGGTCTTTCAACATTTTCCAAAATGCGCAGTCCCGTGACAAAATTTCGCAGCCATATTCCCTGATTGGATGCCTCATAGCAAGCTACAAATTCTGCTGCCATAGTGGAGGAAGCTACTAGTGTTTGTTTGACACTTTTCCATGATATAGCTCCTCCTGCTAACATATAAATGTAGCCTGATGTAGACTTCCTGCTATCTTGGCATCCAGCAAAATCAGAGTCCGAATACCCAATGACCTCTAATTTCTCTGATTTTCTGTATGTGAGCATGTAATCTTTTGTTTTCTGAAGATACCTCATAACCCTTTAATTACAACCTGGTATCTGCACATATAACCCCATGACTTATTTAAATACCAAATTAACCCAACTTAATTGATCACTTTAGTGGGTTATCCTGAAAGATAGCAATACACATTGATTAATCATATGTACCCACAAATAGATTTATTAGATTAAATCCAACAATCTCAAGCTTATGTTTGCGGCTGTTAGAATGAGGTGTAGATCAAACCTCAATTCCGACGAGGAGCTCCGGCGAAGCTCCAACGAGCTTGAGAACCACGCAGGCGAGCGTGGGCGTCGACTCAGGCGAAGTCGACGGCGAAAGCTCCAGGTGAAGCTCGAGCAGGCGAGCTCGAATTTTGGCGATTCCCAACCTCGGCGTGTGGGCAACGCGACCTTGGCGTTTTTGGATCCGACCCTCGCGTTTGGGACACCGACCCTCGCGTCCAAGCTCCGACGATCGCGTCCAGGCGCTCCGACCCTCGCGTCAGGCTGTCGCCAGCCTGTCATGTTCGCCTATAAAAGCAAACCCCGATGCCCTAAGGTTCGTGCTTTTTTCTTCCTCCCCTAATTTTTTTTTCTCTGGCGGCGGCACATAAACGCAGCAGCGTTCCTCTTCTCCAACCTTAAAATCGCTGCTGCGATTTTGGTTTTCATCTCCAGCTCTCAACAGAATCTTGAGGGGAGATTAAGAAAGGATTTAGAGAGAGAGAGAGAGAGATTTGAAAGGGATTATTCTCTTTAACTATTAACACTGTAGCTA